CAGTACTTGCGAAAGGAAAGGAGGGCCAGCAGGGGCCTCAAAGACGGGCCACCGAACTTTACGGGGGGAGACCGGTGAGCACCCCTCAGGGCCCAACACCGTTCCTATCTCATTACTATCAGATAAACAGTCTGCCTTTGTGCGTTTTTGCTCTCAAATTCCTATCTCTCGATGGTTTATTCATTGTTTAGATACCAAAGTCGTATGTCATGATGCTTGTCAATATAAAATCAACTGTTTTTAGGATCTTTGATGACAACCTCTGGCATCTCTGATTTTGAGGTTTTTCCAAGCTTTTGCTTCATGACATAAATACTTGTGGGGGGTAGGCTAAACCTTCATGACTTAGCCGCCGCAATTTGGAGGTAGTTTTCACAAGTCCTTTGTCATTTCAGGTAAGTATATATGTGCTTGCATTTTAATAAGGACCCCCCCAACCAATCCCAACCAATGGGTTTTGGTTCTGTTCCCTTAATGCACGATGTCCAATACCAGCAGCCCACTCTACAGTCTTTCTCTAGGCTTGACAGGATCGCTTGGTGGGTGGCGGCGGCCGACCTGTTGGAGTTTATACATCTGGAGGTGACTGCGGCAGTCATGTTTCAAAATTGTGACTCCACAGCTTCTGCCTTTCCCCCATGCAAACAGCCGCCAACATGTTCTTCTGAATTGGAGAACCCTACGCCCTACGCCTAAAATACATTTAGCAAGTCCTTGGAGGAACTATTCAAGGCTATTTTCGTTCACGGAGGGAAAACCGCGCGTTTGTCTATGTGACCGGAGTCCGGTGTGGTTTCTCGTCAGGGCGAGGGTCACCGGGCGCGCGGGCCCGTGGGCTCGCCCCGGCGCCCGGATCCAGCTTCCTATCCGTCGAACGATTTCTCGACCTTCCGTGCAGCGCCATGGCCATTTGTTGGTGGCTGCCATTGGCTGTTTTTGTTTTTTTCGAAATCGAGAAAGGCGCCTCCTGTGAGCTCTGAGGTATCGGGTGAACTCTGAAGTCTATTATGCACCAAAGATCCCAAAGACAAGAACACTTATGATGCCAGCACCTTCAAGGGAAAACGATGGAATCATCTAGGTCGACAAACACAAACAAATCTCCGTCCTTGGGGATCGGGTGTCCATGTACTGTCTTGCTGGCGCCCTTCAACCCCTTCAGTGCAAGCGACATTTTTGCCTTTCATCCGTCCACCTCCCCCACCACCCTGTGGATCCCTCAGATTAGCGAGGCGCAAGAGGGCTGCCAGGGCTGCAGGCTTTTCGTAGTCGTCCCGCAAAATCATCACATCCTGAAACCATCCCGTGAGAAGCAGGAAACACCAAGAACACTCCCACGAATCACATCACGAAGTGGAAAAATCACCCGGATCTTCGTAGCATCGTAGAACGGAATTTTTGTCATGTCGGTCCATGTTGCGTCTTCGATCACGTGAGTCTAAGGGCCTCGATGCATATATCACGACGTGACACGGTGGGGTCAGAACCGGTTCCGACAAGAAGTCGGAACGCGCACGCCTGGGTGACGTTGGGATTCGCGCTGAAGGCGCCCCGGCCGCCGATGCGCACCTCTGGTGACGTGGAACTTTGAGTTCATGATGATCAAGGTTCACTCCTGTTCACTCCTTACATCAATGCTCAAGTCACGAACTGGAGGTCATTTCTGGAAGCAAGTATGAGTCTGATTCAATCAAATCTTTCTAAGGATATATGAATCAATGTGATGACTCGTGTAGGTGTCTGAAAGGTTTTTTTATGGTCAACAAACTGACCAATTGGGCTTGCATCCAGTCATCCCATCATAACTCCATGATGGCTTCTCAATGCTTATCATTACGTAAGCGGCTTACTAGACCAACCGGCAACCTAGGGGCACGCATCGATCTCGTTTGGAGAGACACGCCACACCGCCACGTCCAACCTCCACGGGGTCCGTCAGCACTTCCTCGGCGAAGTGTTGCACCGCTGCTGGCCACGTGGCCGAGAAGAGCAAGGTCTGCCGCTGAGGCGTCGGCCGCGCCTTCGTCCGGAGTCGAACAAAAAGATCCTCTTGTTACTACGTAGTAGCGTCCTTGCTCCTAGTAGCGATGCCAGGAGCCCCTAGTAGCTTCTTGTTACTAGTTGCTTTGGGCAAAATCAAAACACAAAAGTCTGATGTTTGTATCGCAAAGTGACCAGAAGACATTGGTCAAGGATATTCAAAAACAACAAAAAACATCCTCCATCCTCCAGGATTCAACTGGGAAACTCAAAGAGATACAAGTACCAAGTCCGGTAAACAGGACTGGAAATAAGAAATGACTATCACCAGCACCACTTAGTCTATGATGCGATCCGCGAATTAAATCATGATGGGATCCGTGACAAAGGAACCATGCTGTGTTTGGCCGCAAGTGAAGTCTTCCACCCTCTTCTGGGAAAGGCTGGAGGGTATTCACCTTCTTCAAGAACAAAGCTAAGGAGCGATCGAGCATCAGCTTAGCACTTGCAACTTGGAGCCCTTGAAAGGACAAGGACATTCATTACATTCCATTGTGCACTCATGTCACCCGTACGCTGCTTGTCACCATCCAACGAAGACGGCAACGGGGTAGACGCCAACGCGTCGGTCCCGGAAGACGCCGGGCCTCCCTCAAGATCTTCCGCACCTGCGGCTCCTGGAAACCGCCAAACCACGACAGGGAAGGTTACCATTTTTCCCATTCTGTTCATATTTTGCGGGAAACCAATCCTCCAGAAAAGGTTAAGGTTATCCACTGACTGGGTAGGTTTACAAAGCTGTGAAATAGACATCTGGCAGCATCGTAGAGCACCACAAACAAACATGAAACTGCATGAAAGAGCTTTGTGTGCTTTTTAAATGTTTTTTGGATACCTGGGGTGGTATCTCATTCTTGAGGGCGACATTGCTGGGATGGGCACTTACAAACTGAACATAGAACTAGGTCATCTTCCTGGCCACTTCCTACCAAATGAGTCAAATTATGAGGGTGATGCACCAGCATGTAGCGATCCACACCTGATGCAAGTATTTCCTGCTTTTGCTCCTGTTCCCTGTCCCCTACAAGATTGTTCTTTCTTCTCGGCATTTCCCCAAATTGATAGACAACGACAACATACCACAACTACTTGATGTGCATTGATCGCCGTGCCAACAAAAATGTCATGGTATGTCATGGTTTGTTTGGTGGGTGACCTTCCAAACATTGTGGAGACGGCGACCTGCAACTACCTTCCGGATACAAATGTGTTTGGTTGTGTGGTGGTTTTCTGTTGTTGTCCATCTCTGTTGAATTTGGCAGAGTTCCTCCACCAGTGCAAGCGCAGCCAAGGAACGAAACCCTCACTGAGCATCCGATCTGCTTCGTCTAAAACGAGCATCCGCAAATGTCCCAGGCAAAGTACCCGTGGCTCCTCCTGGCAACCAAACTGGTGGAGCAAGCAAGCAATTGGGGTTGCAAAAGTGTGAGTGATGCTTGGTCTACAGGGCATCGATTGAAACTGAAATACTGCATCACTTCACACTGGGATAGTATCTTCCAACCATACATCCCGAGGGATAAAGGTGTTAGAACATCAATGAGGATCGCGTCGAATTAAGAAGTCGTTGCGTGGCCAGTGTGGGATGGTCAATGACCCTCTTTTTGGTGTACACTAAAAGAGAAGCTACTAGGTGGAGGCCATCGCCAGGTTGGAGGCCATCGCTACTAGGTTCGAGGCCATTACTACTATTCACAAGAAGCTACTAGTAGCAAGGTGCCTCACTAGTAACAACCTACTTGTAGGCTTGGGACCTCGGAGGAAGCAAAATCGACCGCGTCAGGCTAAATGTCTGGCAGGATTCTACGGTGAAAGGGGAACTGAACACTTGTGTATAACAATCCATGGTTGTTCTATTCACTTTGGGTCTATCCTAGCAACAGTGGATGATGATGGTTAGTGAAAGGCCTTTCTCTATAGTAGTGAAAATCAAACGTTGACAACGTGTGTCGACAGATGCTGAAAGGCTGTGAAGAGGGTATGTTAGCAACAGTCCGCAAGGATAAGTATTGCAAATCCTCCAACATGGACACGGCCATGTTAGTTTATGCCGGGGAACATTCACCAGCTTCATGACTCTGAAATGGCACAAGTGGTGTCTGGCACGAGGATATGTTAGCAACTAGGAGAAGCATGGAAAAAGGTTCCATGACCCATGCCCTGTGACACGGCCATGTTACTTTGTGTTTGGCACGTGCAAAGACTAACATAGCCATCCAAAATGGGCATTGAGTCTTCCAGAAATGCACAATTCTTAGTCGCAAGGACTAACATAGCCCTCTAAAATGGTCATGTGGTTGACCAAAATTGCAAACTTTATGGTTGCTCCAGGCCAGGATAGCAGTGTTTTTGGACCTTTTCTTGAAGCTACCGAAAGAAGAAGTTACATGCAATTCCACAGGAAACACCGGAGAGGTTTTGGATATTGGGAATCTTTAGCTGCCAAGGGTGCGTTTGATTTGGGGAGAGTAATAGGACAAACCCAACACTGTATCAGTTCTCCAAACGAAAAACAATCCCTTTTGCTATCATTTGCTTGCTTCAACCGTCTCCAAACGAAATGACCGGGCCTGATTCACCCGTGTGTACCTTCCACCGTTTTCTGCTCGTCCCGTCTCGCCCGTCTCCTCCAGCAGTTCCAAAAGCCTGGCTGTCGGATGGACTCAACAAGTTGGCCGAGGCCCAAGAATGTAGATTAGGCATTTTTCCACTGTAATATGACTTTAAGGACTATAAGAACTGACTAAGTACTAAATTTAACAATACCCAATCGCTCCAAAGCATGCAAATATGACTAACATTCGACAGCGTCATCATTTTTTGAGTACATTGGTCATATCATCACAATGTGGCCTGATTTGGTGCACATTCAATTCTTTGAATTTCCGATAACGTGCATGCAACCATTCCAGGCCACCACTCCAAAGTCATTGCGACATTTTCCCTCAAAACTGCTCTGGTCACACCGGCCATTGTTCCTTCATGCCCGGGTTTCTCACTCTCAGCAGGAATCTCAGAACTGTTCGGAGCTCCAAAGTCGCGCCTCATGGGAGCTGAGTGTCATATCTTTCAATAACTGCAGGGGCATCTTCCACACATAATTATTCCTTGGAAAATACAAAAATGCATTCAAAAGTCAACTAGGGCTCGGTGGACTTGCTTCACCAGTCTTTTCATTTGTCCCATGAAGTCTTCGTCTCCATAACAGTGGTTTGCTCCTTACTGGCAGGGGACAAACACATTTCATCCGTTTTGCGTGGTCAAGGCATCTTTTTGGGGTGAAGCTACCCGGCTTTGTGTGTGTGTGTACCAAGCATCGAGGAGACTCTTTGAAGGCCAACATTTCATGCAGGATTTCCACAAAAGCCTAAGTCGGTTGCAACTGCGTGGAACTATAGTGTTGCTAGTCCAATTTTACCATCTCTTGATTTCCTTTTCTTGCGCCATGGCGCATGGACTTTTGGCTTGAGCGGATACCTCCGGCTTCTAAGCTGCACGTGATGGACAGCCAGGAGTTTGTATGTTCTCAAAAACCTTAGGCCGATGTTGCTCCCAACAAGGGGCGCACTGGATCTAAAGCATTTTCCCCGCTCGTTTGTTTATCAGGGTTGGGGAATTAACTTTGGGTTTGGATGTTGCCTTCGAATGGTTTTGGCACAGCAAAAAAGAAACAAGTCGACTATGTGGTCAAGCGGCTCCATACCCTGGTCGAACAGAGTCTGCGCTTCACGATCTGAGAGTTTGTACGGTGCTTGTTCCAAGCAAAGTGACCAATTGGCCAGCTGAGCCGTTGCCGTTGTCACCAGGGCTAAGTCTGGGGAAGCCTCTCCAGCTTCCGTACGCTCTTGGTAAAGCCCTTTGAGGACTACAGCTAAAAATGCAGTCATGATTCTAGAGGAATAAGCCTTCAACCGCAGCTCTGCAAAATCCTCCACATGCAAGTGCCCCTTTGTGATGATGGGTTGCCCATGATGTATTCCATGAAGGGAGCACCACATGTGGAAACGGTGCGTTAGGTGTTCCATTTTCTTGTCAACTCCACAAACATTTCCTTAGCAAGGGCCAAACATAAGCCAGGTACTCTTTGGGAGTTGGTGACATATTTTGGAGAAGGTTTGGGGAAATGTTGGTCCCTTGCTCCCCTGCAAAGACAAAATGCTGCATCTAAAGAAACCCACCCAGCAACCGAACCAGCCGTTCTCGTCCAGGGTAAGCCAAGCCCCGCCATTCAAATGATGGCAAAGTCCAAGATGAAGAGTGTGCATTAAGCAATACTTTACCATTGTTGGCTGCCACCCGACCGCCATACAAATGGGGCTGATGTAGTCTTTCCTTAAGACAAGTTATTGAAAGCCCAAATCTGGAGTATTGTCATACAAGTACCTCTGACAACCCACATGGGTACCAGGATGGTATTAGATTGTCACACCGCAAAAAAGTACTACACCATCACATCAAGGAGTCAACGCTACAGAAAAGAACTCCGATGTCGACAGCCTTGGAACCGATGTGTAGTCCTCCACGTTCACATACCTAGGTCGAGTTGTTCAGGTGGCCGGCAATCATCGCATACGCGTAACTTGAACCTAACCCCGAAAACAACTTGACAAGTTCAAACAATCTTTGTCCAAAGCTTTGGCACTAGGCACGAATAAGGTCCATAAACAGCATTGGCTTTGCACTTGAAGCACACCCCCTGTTTCCGGCGCCAAAAGTTCTTCATATCAAAGATCTCCTTCAACCATTTCCAGTCACCCCTCAGGGGTAGAAGCAGGAAATTGACATCATGTGCAACAGACCGTGTTGAAACAATTCAAACATTTCATCCTGGTTGTGGGCCACCCAGACCTCACTTCAGTCAGGCAATAAGGCCCACCGGCTATCGGACTCCCGGCACGAAGCGCGCGTGCACCACTCAACGCGTTCCCCTCCCAATCTTTGCTTGGAAAGCGCCCACTGTAGGCGACCTTATGGACCAGCGTAAAGACAAATTTTAGAGTGATATGCTCAATCAACCAGCGCCCCCCCCGCTCAAAACAAACAGTTAAGAAGTAACAAGTTGCAGGCTAAGTTTCGTTCAGACTCCAGATGATAGCCCTGTACAGGGGGTCCAACGTCCCGACACCCAAACTGAGCTCGTGCCGCAGGCAGAACAGGAGGAACCGTCGGTTTACCTTCAACTCACCTTGCAGTCCCAACAATCGGAGCGCAACAAAAATAGGGGGCTGGGAAGAAAGACAACAACAAAAAAGGGAAACTTGTTCATACCCAGCTAACCCAATGACCATCCACCGGTGCAGCAGCTTCATGGCATTGCCGATCAACAAGTATACTGTTGAGGCACACAACAATCACTTTGGCACCTGCCAGGGAATACTTGGCATCATCCCCAGCCAACCCCAGTGGGGTGTGTTTCTTTTCTACTGTAGCAAAGTGAGCCGGACACGAAGAGTTGTGGTGCATCGACGCCCAGGACGAGATCTATCTCTGATGGGTACAGTGATGAAGACCGGTTCCTTAATCAGTACAGATAGAACATGGTTGATATACACACAACTAGTAGCAGTTCTTTAGTTCTCCCACATCTTAAAGGGCATCATCAACACATTGCCAGCAATCTCCAAGAGTCTATAGGGAGCTCTAGGATCCTGAAAAGGTCTCGTTCTGCATTCTGAGGAAAAGCACCAGCACCACCAATCCGGGCCAGTTTCTTAGTCAGCTGGGAACAATGACCTCCAGACTCCCTCACCATGGCCATAGCTGCGGTTTGCAAACCAGACACCGATGTCGCCCCTTTGCCAAGCGTCGCGAGGAGAAAGTCGGCAAATTCAGACGACTCGGATGTACCTGCACAGGCGGATTGGCGAACGGGACAGGATTTCATGCATCCACAGCCAAGCTTAGCGCGACCACTTTTTTCTTTCATGCGGTTCTTGGTCATCCATCTGAGCTGCTCTCTCGCAGCTCGGCAGGAGAGCGACAGCCATCAGCCCCAAGGTTCATGCCAACCCTGGCTGGTTCCAAACACATGTGCTTCTTTCCCACCTACATGTGCACACACATATGTTGTCACAGATAGTACACACCCGCCAGGGAAACCAAGGCCGTCCCTGAGGATACAAAACTCCGACATCTCCCCTGAGCGCAGCGCATCGCTATGTCGCACTGGCTGCATGAAAAAAAGAAGGTTCGAAACAATCAAGGTTGCTGAACACTTCAGCAACTACATCCTTTTCGCAGCCAGTGCTTCCCCTTGCGTTGGTCAGGAAAGGTCATCATGAGGCTTTCCATGGAAGGTGTCATGAGGAAAACGTTGCCTTTACTTTGCCTGCGCTTTTGCCCCAGCCTTTGGCTTAGGTTTGGCAGTGTGCTTTTTGCAGTGCCGGGCAGCAATCCGGTAATCTGCAATTTTCAACACTAAGTTCTGCGAGCGGAGAAGCACATCCTCGTCTTTACCCCCGTTAGCGACACAAGTTTCCAACTCAAGTCGCAAGTTTTCCAAGGGTGCGAGAAACTCATTGCAAGCGGCCACCAAAGCACTCACCACCTGGGATGGCCTCCGGAATAAAGTTCAAGCGCACCCAAACATGTACACGGGTGAGTAGGATAACCTGAAGAAGATAAGGCCCAAACGCGTTAGCGTCCTCAAGCTTTGACTTCCACGATTTGCACTCAAGGATCGCATCCGATGCATCCTTCATCGCCTCGCCATGTACATGTATATGGTACTTATAAACACTAACTCCGAGGCAATCACAGCTTTTAAGCCTAGAAACCTTGTTTGCCTGCTGGGTAGCAGTCTTTGCCTTGGGGACCTTGGGGTCTCTGGGGGCAGGCTTTGGCTTTGGTTTCGGCTTTGGGGATGCAGGAGGCGCAGGAGCACGCCCCCCCCCAGTTGTCAAATGGCCGCGAACTTCATTCGCAGCCAGAGGTTGCTTCCTGAGGCACACCCAATCCGCTCCCTCCCACAAACAAAAAAAAGCTGTTCAGGGATGGTGGTTTAGGCACATGAGTTGGCTTTGAGGCACAGACTGCAACATTGCAGCGGTAGCTCCATCAAGGTGGCCAGTGGACGTCGTACTCACAGTGTTTGCCCTTGTGTTTCGGTCTGTCTCTTGCAGACCATCCCAGCACCAATACTCCCGCAAGGCCTGCCCACAGGTCGATACTCACACAAAATTGGGAGTACACATGTCAGCGAACATTTGTTTTTCTAGTCTTTGGTTACCCCATCCTCGTTGTCTGGTAGGTCTGCGTTTGCAATCCACAGACCCTGCTCAGTTTTGCGGGCTATGATTTCATCCACGATGACTTCATCTTGGTACTTTGCCAGCAGTGCCTGCAGTGCAGGACAGAGGTCGGACAGAGTGATAGTTTGGAGGGGGGCTTGGGCAATTTGAATAGAATGAAAGACCGAGAAACGGTTCGACTCATGGTCTTCCATCTCCCACGTCTCTCGTGTGAAGAGGTCGAATAAGAGTTCATGACCAGCTCAGAGTTGGCCCACTTTCCCCCACAATTCACATATTCGTCATAGAACTTGTCCCACTCCAATTGGTCTCTACCTCACCCCAACCGCATCAGACCCTATGACCCTACATTTATAAAAGCACAAGATCTTTACAGTCTGGTATTCAATGAACAACTTGGGTGATCACTGCCAGCCATTGCTCGCAACTTTGCCTTCACTGGTTCCGGGCAGGACGCACCTGGATAGAGCAAGGGCATGGGAAAGAATGCGTGGTTTAAAACATTGTCAAAGGTGACAGCTAGATGCATACCATGGAACAGCGCACAGACCTGTGAAACTTTGCTTTCGCAGCCCGAATCTTCCTGTATCGCTCGGCCTTCTTAGAGTCCACAACAGCCTCCTAGCGGTTACCACAGTACAGCATAGTGAACACCGAACGCAACTGGACAACATCTCCTCCTGGTTCGTTGCAGGCTGCTTGACATGGTCATCTGCAGCTGCAGCAGGCTTGGGTGCCGGAGCCGGTGTCGTAAGAGCTGCATTGACCAAATCCGTCACTGGTGCAGCGGCTGCTGGCTGAACTGGTGTTTGCAGTGAGTGGTCAGGTGGGGCTGGAGCTTGGGCTGGACTGCTTGCAGAAGTTGCTGACTGCAGTGTCTGGGCTGTCTCCTGCTGCTGGAGTGGCGCAATGTTTGCGGCTGGGGCTGGGACTGGCTTCATGGTGCTGTCCCCTGCTGGGACTGGGTCATCAGGCTGGGATGGTGTCCCCTGCTGGGTTGGCTGAGGCTCCATTGCAATGTCTGCTGCTGGCTGGGCGATGTTCGCTGCTGACATCCCCTGCGTGCCTGCCAGGGTTGGCTGAGGCTCCATTGCAATGTCTGCTGCTGGTGCTGGAGGTGGAATGCCTCTTGGCTGGGCAATGTCTGCTGCTGACGTTGGGATGGTGTCATCAGGCTGCGATGACCCCTGCGTGCCTGCCAGGGTTGGCTGAATCTCCATTGCAATGTCTGCTCCTGGCACTGGAGCTGGGATGCCTGTTGGGTGGGCAATGTCTGCTGCTGACGCTTCATGAGGCTGGGATGTCCCCTGCTGGCCTGCCAGGGTTGGCTGAGGCTCTGCTGCTGGCGCTGGAGCTGGGATGCCTGTTGGCGCTGGGGTTGGGTCATGAGGCTGGGATGTCCTGCGCTGGCCTGCCAGGGTTGGCTGAGGCTCTGCTGCTGGCACTGGAGTTGGGATGCCTGTTGGCTGGGCAATGTCTGCCGCTGGGGTTGGGTCATGAGGCTGGGATGTCCCCTGTGTGCCTGGCAGGGTTGGGTGAGGCTCCATTGCAATGTCTGCTGCTGGCGCTGGAGGTGGGATGCCTGTTGGCTGGGCAATGTCTGCTGCTGATGCTGGAATTGGGTCGAAAGGCTGGGGTGACGGGGTCAGGGTTGGCTGAGACTCCATTGCAATGTCTGCTGCTGGCGGCCGGACTGGGTCAACAGATGTCTCCTGCAGGGCGTCAGGCGCTGGCGTTGGAGCTGGGGTTGTCTGCAGTCCAGGGTCGGCTTGAAGTGATGTCCCCTGTTGGGAAACTTGGGTTGGGTGTTGGTGAGGCTGGCTTCCTGGTGATGGGGTGTTCAACACAGCCGCCGGGGTCACATGTTTCTTCTCAACTCGAAACCGTGCCCAGTACTCGATCATCGCACGGGTTGGCGTCGCAACTGGAATCACCTCACCTTCTGTGGGTTTTGCTGCTGTTTGCGCCAGGGGCTCTGAAGGGGTTGCAAGGGGAACTGAACGGTGGAGGCAACTGGCAGGCAGCGCCTGCTCTGTCAGTACAGATGCCAGCACTGCCTTCTGCGCTTCCGTAGTCATCATGCTAGCCTCAATTTGATTCCGAAAGGAAACCTATGTATTTTTGTGCTTGGTATATCAGGGCAGTTAGGCTTCTTACAGCAATGCCGTCCATAGTTCCAGGTGAGTAGGGCAAGGTCAAGGTCGATTCCGTCGACTTTAACGTGCTCAAAGACTCGGGCGCCTCAGTAGAATTCCAAAAGCTATCCAGAGGGTCAGGCTGGCTGTCCAGCACGAGTGTAGGGTCCAATGCATCCTGGGTGTCATGGACCTCGACTATTTCACCTGGGGGACAAGATGTGGAATCAACGAAGACGAACGCGTCAACATAAAGGATGATCAAATTAATGAGACTATGGCCTGCAACAGCGTCCAAACGGTCCATGAGATTCTGCACCAGTGTCTCGTCGCTGGACTTTGACACCGAACTTGACAGTGTCTCCGATGTCTCTGTCTTTTGAAGCTTTGGATCTGGCGTCACCTTTTCACCAGTAGGGTTGGCATCCTGGAGAGAACATTGAATATAGCTGTGTGCCCCTACATGATCATGCAATGACCGGGTGTTGAGAAGGGTCCTTCACGATCACCTCTTTCTTTCTCTTCGGTTGAACGAGCAATTCCGGAGGTTGGGCTGCCATGGATGCTGCCTTCGCTTTCATCCGACGTGCTCCAGCTGCATGCAATGCTGCAGCAACTGCCTCAACGGCAGCGCCAGCGCTTAGATATATTAGATACGGACTATTGCGGACACATACCCGTGCAAACTTAACACCCAATGCCTGTGCCATCTCCGCATTTTCGTGGCCCATGGACCGGTCAGCCATGGCCGTCAGCTAAAATGCACTTACTTGTCAGCAAAAAAAGGGCCTTATGTCAGCGAGAAAAAGAAATCACACTATATAGCGGACACCTTTGTCCCAAAAATGCACAGGAAGATGGATCCAACCCAGGCTTGGCCATTTTACCCGGACTATTTGGAACAGCCAGTCGGGACCCCCACCCCTCCGTCACGGCTCCGTCACGGTTTCGTCACGGCTTCGTCACGGGCGCAGTCCCTTTTTTAATTACTTTTTGTATACATTCGAGTTTAACGGTCACGCTCCGTCACGCTCCGTCACGGTGAGGGGTGGGAGAGTGCACAGTGGCTAAAACCACCAAAATAATTCGAGGTCTCCATGTTGACCTGTCAAATTACACATCAAAGGTCTCAAGCCTTTCCTAAAGTGGCAGGTTCGGTTGAGGGTTGAACTTGCCCTCCTTCACTGCTTGAAGTAGAAAAGCTCGCAGAGGTTCTAAGTCAGCGTGTTCCCACTGAAACAGCGGCTGAGGCGGTTGGAGATCGGTCAAGTCCTCTGGCAGCTGGATCGAAGGTGGATCAGGGTTGACCTGGCAGTGGGACAGGGTTGAGTTCAACAGTACAAGACTGGGATGGCTAGATTCTAGACCAACGACTCATACTCCAATGCAACTCACTCTTGAAGATTGAATTTGAAAGGAGGTGCCAACGTGTTCTGTTTAAGGGACTCCATGAGCCAGAAAT